TATATATACACATACTTACATATATACTTATATAGGTCTATATATACTTATATATATACACTTATATTCTTATATACTTATACATAATGTACACTTATATATAAGTATATATACACACACATAAACATATATATATATACATACATATGTATATATATATATACGTATATGTATATATATATCAATATATATGTATGTATATATATATAAATATATATATATATATGTAAAAATATATATAAATGTATATATATGAATATATATATATATATACGTATATGTGTATATATATATATATATACGTATACTTCTAAAAGTCGTGTATCATGCATAGGAACGTTGACGCCTGCAAGGCTCTGGTTATCACCAGCTTTGCTTTTAACAATAGGTACAAGTACAACTTCAGTTAAACCATCAGGTACGCAACCATGATGGATCATAGGATTAAAACATATACTTAAGAGAATGTTTACTTTGTATGAAGCATATTTAAAATGTTCGGCCGTAAGACCATCTAAACCTGAAGCTTTACCAAGTGGGAGTTTGTCAATACGTTTATTATCCATAATAGGTGTAACAATACATTCATCATTACAGTGTGTGTCCAGTACACTATTCACCGTATCTTTATGGAAAACGTTGTCCACACAATTAAATAGGTTACAATAGTGTTCACGCCACATTTTACAAATATTGGTTTCTCCCTTAGCACCATCAATTGTGTCACATTTTATATTACTGTTCTTACGAGCTTTCTTAACCGAATCCCAATATTGTGTAGCCTATTGTTCTCCATTTACTTACAGGTGAAATTTTATACTTGGCCAGTATATAAAATACCTAATTTACATATAGGTGAATTTTGCCTGTTAATGAACTCTCCATCTGAAAGTTTGACCATAAAATATTAATGCTTTAATATATAGATAGTCCATAATAATATTTATAAAATATTTATTTCTGCTTGACGCTACTGAAAACAATTAAAAATGTAAAACAAATTTTCCATTATTATTCAAATAAATATTGTAACCATATTTTTAAACCTTTTTTAACAGCTGGTTATGCTTGTGGCACTTATCACTACAGTTTGACGGGAACCGTAAGCAGCCCAAATTACCCGAACAATTACAACAACAGAGAACGTTGTCTGTACCTAATACGGATACATGGAGGCAATACCATTGAATTGACCTTCACTAGCTTTGATACAGAACTGTTAAAAGATGTTTTACTGATTGGCACCGGTCCTACATCAGGGATATCACAAGTTAATCAGCTGACGGGTAACCTCACAGTGCTTACTTATACATATAATGCCAATCAACTTTGGTTGGAATTTAGTACAGACCGCACAATTCACAGACCGGGCTGGAGCTTTACTTATAGTGCAGGTACAGTAAAAGCATTTGGGGTGGTCTCTGCTTTTGGTCTCCAATTAGAGGGGTCTCAAAATTAGAGGATTTTGAATTTATGGGGTGCATTGTAAGCCAGTTTCCACTACTTTACAACTATTTTTTTACTACAGTAGTTCTTAAAAATGGATTGCCAGCTAGTTATAACTGAGTATGTAAAAAAAGTTTTATTTATACAATGATTTTTATAAAAATATGAGGTGTTGATTTGTGGAGTTGGCTTTGTACTTCAATATCGCTTACAGGGGCATAGTCTAGTTTTGACCTGGGTGTGGGGGGCTGCAAAAAAGCCTGGGCTGTGAAAATTGAGAATGTGAAACTAATTCCCTATTGCAATAAAAACTTAATGGTCATTTTTGTATTTTAACCTGTGGAACTAATTTACTACCATGTGGGTGGGGGAGGCCCACACTCCCCTGCCTACTCCTATAGCTTAATACATTAATGTGTGGCATGTCAAAGCAATAGCCATTTAATTTTTATATACCTATTAATTAGTGATATTTTTTTTTCTGTTTAAATTTTCAATTTAAAGCTAATAATATATGCAAAGCTATAGCTAACCTGTAATAATTGCTGTTATTAATTTTTTTATCCTGTCTAGATGGTGATGACTGTTTTAATTCACCCTGTGAGAACGGCGCCACCTGTGTGGATGGACTCCGTCAGTACACCTGCACTTGTGCTCCTGGGTACAGTGGTACCAACTGTGAAAATGGTGAAAATGGTAAGTACTAAAAAGAAAATATAAAAGAAGAAAAAATAAAGCAAGAATGTGTAAAACCATTTTTTATGTGGATATCTTACTATACTATTATTGGTTATGATGCTCTACCAATGTCTTGTTATTTAGTTAGCATCATAAAATATTGTACTGTATTTTATTTCTTTTTACCCTGGATATATTTTCAGGCAGATGTTCATACATGTTTTTAACAATGGTTCTACACAATAATTACAATGAAAATAAAGACAGTCCATAAAAAGAATATATTATTTTTTTTAATTTAATATTTTAAGATTGACATTGTCCTCTGCATTTTTTAAAATTATTTTTTTTATCATCATTATCACCTTTATTGCCCTCATGATAATTTTCATCATCATCCTAGTCAACTTCATCCTCCTCCTCATAATCATCATCATCATCATTACCCTCATCATTATCCTTATTGCAATCATCATAATTATTATCATCATAATCTTCATCATTACCATCATCATCACCAGTATCATTAACCTCAATGCCATCATCATCATTATCAGTATTATAATTGTCATAATCATTCTAATCAACACCATCCTCATCATCATCATCGTTACCCCAATGCTATCATCATCATTATCACCATTATAATTGTCATAATCATTCTAATTAACATCATCCTCCTATTATCATCATCATCATCATCGTTACCCCCAATGCTATCATCATCATTATCACCATTATAATTGTCATAATCATTCTAATTAACATCATCCTATTATCCTCCTCATGATCATCATCGTTACCCCCAATGCTATCATCATCATTATCACCATTATAATTGTCATAATCATTCTAATTAACATCATCCTCCTATTATCTTCATCATCATCATCATCGTTACCCCAATGCTATCATCATCATTATCACCATTATAATTGTCATAATCATTCTAATTAACATCATCCTATTATCCTCCTCATGATCATCATCGTTACCCCCAATGCTATCATCATCATTATCACCATTATAATTGTCATAATCATTCTAATTAACATCATCCTCCTATTATCTTCATCATCATCATCATCATCGTTACCCCAATGCTATCATCATCATTATCACCATTATAATTGTCATAATCATTCTAATTAACATCATCCTATTATCCTCCTCATGATCATCATCGTTACCCCAATGCTATCATCATCATTATCACCATTATAATTGTCATAATCATTCTAATTAACATCATCCTCCTATTATCTTCATCATCATCATCGTTACCCCCAATGCTATCATCATCATTATCACCATTATAATTGCCATAATCATTCTAATCAACACCATCCTCATCATCATCATCATTACTCCCAATGCCATCATCATCATTATCACCATTATAATTGTCATAATCATTCTAATTAACATCATCCTCCTATTATCATCATCATCATCATCGTTACCCCAATGCCATCATCATCATTATCACCATTATAATTGTCATAATCATTCTAATTAACATCATCCTATTATCTTCATCATCATCATCGTTACTCCCAATGCCATCATCATCATTATCACCATTATAATTGTCATAATCATTCTAATTAACATCATCCTCCTATTATCCTCCTCATGATCATCATCGTTACCCCAATGCTATCATCATCATTATCGCCATTATAATTGTCATAATCATTCTAATCAACACCATCCTCATCATCATCATCATTACTCCCAATGCCATCATCATCATTATCACCATTATAATTGTCATAATCATTCTAATTAACATCATCCTCCTATTATCTTCATCATCATCATCGTTACTCCCAATGCCATCATCATCATTATCACCATTATAATGGTCATAATCATTCTAATTAACATCATCCTCCTATTATCTTCATCATCATCATCGTTACTCCCAATGCCATCATCATCATTATCACCATTATAATGGTCATAATCATTCTAATTAACATCATCCTCCTATTATCTTCATCATCATCATCGTTACTCCCAATGCCATCATCATCATTATCACCATTATAATGGTCATAATCATTCTAATTAACATCATCCTCCTATTATCTTCATCATCATCATCGTTACTCCCAATGCCATCATCATCATTATCACCATTATAATGGTCATAATCATTCTAATTAACATCATCCTCCTATTATCTTCATCATCATCATCGTTACTCCCAATGCCATCATCATCATTATCACCATTATAATGGTCATAATCATTCTAATTAACATCATCCTCCTATTATCTTCATCATCATCATCGTTACTCCCAATGCCATCATCATCATTATCACCATTATAATGGTCATAATCATTCTAATTAACATCATCCTCCTATTATCTTCATCATCATCATCATCATCGTTACCCCAATGCTATCATCATCATTATCACCATTATAATGGTCATAATCATTCTAATTAACATCATCCTCCTATTATCTTCATCATCATCATCATCATCGTTACCCCAATGCTATCATCATCATTATCACCATTATAATGGTCATAATCATTCTAATTAACATCATCCTCCTATTATCTTCATCATCATCATCATCATCGTTACCCCAATGCTATCATCATCATTATCACCATTATAATGGTCATAATCATTCTAATTAACATCATCCTCCTATTATCTTCATCATCATCATCATCATCGTTACCCCAATGCTATCATCATCATTATCACCATTATAATGGTCATAATCATTCTAATTAACATCATCCTCCTATTATCTTCATCATCATCATCATCATCGTTACCCCAATGCTATCATCATCATTATCACCATTATAATGGTCATAATCATTCTAATTAACATCATCCTCCTATTATCTTCATCATCATCATCATCATCGTTACCCCAATGCTATCATCATCATTATCACCATTATAATGGTCATAATCATTCTAATTAACATCATCCTCCTATTATCTTCATCATCATCATCATCATCGTTACCCCAATGCTATCATCATCATTATCACCATTATAA